GGTCACATTTTTTGACTAGGTGGAGAGTCCATAACCAATATAATCTCAATACTGAATAATACTCTTAGTGAAAAATTGTGTAGCATCATATTCACGTTCGGTGACCGAACTCGAACGTTCGTAACCGAAAGAGAACGAGCGTTAAAACTTAAAACTCTCCGAGCGCGAAAAAAAAATTAAAAAAATTTCAAAAAACTCTTAATAAAACATATGGTATGTAGAATGATAATACAAACAACTTTTGTCGTGAACGTATGTTCAAGTTCGTAACCAAACACTTGTAAAAAAAAAAAAAAACACCTAAAAAAAAAGTTTGATCGAAAATGTTCGAGAGACATTCGGTTGAACAATTGAACATGTCGGTGTGATACTTAGGTGACAAAGTTTATAAGGTTCAATTATAATACTTTGTGTATGTATAAATTACTTCTCTTTCATGTTTTTTCACTATTCGGATGAGTGTAACCCTATAGTTGTCTTAATTCTCCATGTCTGTAATATATCCATCGCAAAGGTACGTATTGCAAAGAAGTGCAAACTTCATTCATCCGGTATGTTGGTGGTACTTTGTTTCACCATCCTAATCAATAACTATTATAGAAATGTGGAGGTCATGCAGGGGGATAATGTTTTTTTTCATAACATTCATTATCATCCTTTGCCTCCAAATATATCTACCCATACCATTTTCTTGGGGACGCCTCTGCTTTAAGAAGATAATATTATACAAAAGAAGAATAAGAGCCACATAAAAAAAAAAATGGATCCAAGGAAAGGAGACTCAAGAGTGAGAAAAAATGATAGTGAAACAAAATTTATTCTTTAGAATTGCTCATGTGGATATCATAACTAGCTTCCAAGGTGAGTCTTAATCATGCAAATCAATAAATTCAAAAACACAAGATAACTTAGATATATGCATTTATCAATAAAGATTTCTTTCATGAGTATTTCCGAGTCGTTTGACTTTTTCTATCATTTTTAGCATAACAATTGTTTTAGGCAGCGCCGCAGCGGGTTGCTTTTAGCACAATAAGGCTTAATGGCTCTACCCAATAGTAATTAGTAGAGATATTTGTAGCTCACATATATATATCCAGTTATTTGGTTTATTCCAGAGAAATTAGAGTCGTTCTACAACTATCCTATCATTCATAAATTCTACAGATATTTAAATGGATGTTGGGCTCGCTTTCCAACAGAGGTCACCCCCCAACAATAGATTGGGGTGATCGATAAAGTCGAATTTTCGCCCTCGCAGTGCGTGTATTGGCGTATCGCTCAAGGGGGAAAAATCGACCTTCCGATGTCTAAGAAACAAGAAGAAGCTTTGTAGAAAAAGGATGTTGGCTCGATGTAGGCTCGACCACTTGAGAGCTATACCTAAGACCATCATTTCCTATAACCCTCCTTTCCCTCTCAAAAACCAAAAAAGATCAATGGCCTAAAACATAAGATTCAGGTGAGCATGACCTCGCCTCTGAATCACATGTATGAACACCACTGACAATCCTTTTTTTTTTTTTTTTTTTTTTTAGTATCTGGATTCGAACACAAGTCTGTATTTCAACAGTTCATGGGGTCTACCAACTGAGCTAGGCATGTTTCAATATTGGAGAAAGAGGTGCTAGGTCGTTGGCCCGCACAGACTCGCATTAGCAGGGTGTCCCTGGCCAGTTACCTCCAGCAGTGTTGTAAATAGGTTCAACCCATTCTAGTGGATGGTGGCAGGGAGGGGGCAAAAAAATTAACGACATCTTGTCGCAATATCCGTCTTGACCTGCTTTCCCCATCTCTGCCCCATGTCGCCAAAGCTCTAGCTTCTTCAACTCTCATCATTATGGACTCCCCCACCCTCTCTGCTTGCATGCCATTTCTTTCAACCTCTCTCAACAGCATCGCTGGTTTAGTCCGAACGGCCAGCTTATGCCAAGTTTTGTTGATTTGTGTTTGTCTCGCGCACACACACACACACACACAAGAGGGAGAGAGAGAGAGAGAGAGAGAGAGAGAGAGAGAGAGAGAGAGAGAGAGAGAGAGAGAGAGAGAGAGAGAGAG